AATATTTTTGAAATGTTGAGAACTACACTTAAAATACTAAGAACTTTATGAAATATAAAGAACGTTCATATTCGGAACGGAATTTCGTTTTAGATAAATGTGTCAAGTATCGAGATAAGCATAGTCCAAATGTCAAATAACAACCTTTAAAATGTTGAGATCGTCATTAAATGTCACGAACAACAACTATTAAATACAACTTATCAACAAAAACAAAAATTCGAAAAAAAAATTACCTTTTATCGAGAATTGTAAAAAGTCTAATCAACTTGCAAATTTTGATGAGATTAAATTTCTCGAAAATGAAATTATATGATTTTTCTTTTGAGTTGGATGAACATAGTTATTTTTTAGTGTTAATAATTTTTCTACTTCAACCTCTTCATTTTTCCAAAGTCATTAGTCAATACCTAATAAATAATGAAAGCAAATGAATCCATTAGGTAGTAGCTAGCATTAATATAGCTTCTCGTGGAAGCTACTTGTTCTTCTCAAAATTCGTGACCAAAAAAAAAATGCTTCATTTTTCATTAAGGGTATAATAAACATTTTTAGTGCCAAATTTGGCCGTTTTGTAAAAGTTATCAAAATTAGACACTTTTTAATTGACAAACATGGAATTGGAAATTTTTGAAAAATTCCCTTCAAAATATAAATTTGGAAGCAATGGTAAAGATAAACAAGCGACATAAATTTTGTGAATTGATGGTTAGACAACTAAAATGCAGGCTAGTAAATATGGGTTTGGAAGCAATGGTGAAGAGCGTATGAATATGTTCAGACTTCTAATTACTAAAATAAATTTTATTTGCTTGATATGTAAATTGGTCTTATGTAATATGTAATGAATTAATTCGATGAAAATTAATTTCTGAAATTGGTTTAATAATATAATTTTAAATGAGTCGATATAACATTTTTAATAAAAAAACAAGAGAGAGGGTAAGAGAGTAAAAAACTAGATTTATTCTATATGACACGGTGACATTGTTTGAACGGATGGTTTGAAATGTCAGCTCCAGTCTTGTCTTTTAACTTTGAACTTGTGCATAAAAATTTCAAAATTTTGAATACTTTGTGAAAAGAGAAAACTTTTAACAATTTGTACGAGTTACCCCCTTCAAATTACAAGTTTGACACATTTTGTTCTTTGTCAATCACAGTCATTAAAGGGTATGGAATAAGCAAGTAACACCAACTATAAAATAGTTGAATTTTATTTTTTTTTTAAATATACTTTGTTACATTGCAAAAATCATATTAGAGACTAGTAGTTATATAGAAGTTGCATTACACAAAAGTTGCATTACATACCATATTTTACAACCATAACCAATCTATTCGTACTATTATTTATACGACATATCAAAAACCCCACAGACTTACTTATTCTCCAAGAAAATTATCTGAAAACAAATACATCATAGTAGTTGACTCGAATTAGTCAATATAGTAATGGGATCCCACAAAGTGGTGGAAGCCCAAAAATTCTAGAGACGTTCACGTGTGAACTTCTTTGACATGCAATATCGGCCATCTTCCGAAATCATCCATTCACCCGAGATAAAATCAATGTATTCAATAGTGATCATCTACAATATATATTTATATATAAGTTATGTTAATGATATAATAACTTTATGAAAAGAATTGAATTAAAATCTTGGTTAAAAACCATGTGGAAAAATTAAGAAAAATGAAGTTGCTACCCTACACATATTACCTTGTCACTCTAAATATAATATAATAGGGTAAAACGTGGCAAAATAATGATTAGGGAAAAATAAATTAATTATTAATTTAATTCTCAATTACTACTATAAATAGGGGGAAATGAGAGAAAAGGAAAATACACAACAATTTGAAAATCAAAGACAAGTATCTTTACAAAGAAAGCACTTTTATTGTCTTGCAACTTGAAGGGGAGTAACTATGTCCATTTTCCAAACATATTTATTACAATTATGTTATTGAACTACTTTTTGCTTTTCAAATTGATTACAGATTAAGATTCTTACCATTGATATTACATTGGATAATGCTTGATATTATTGTTTATACACCAAATTGATGTAATTAACTAATGAGCTCATATATTATTATTCTCAACTTGCACGCACGAGTAAAATTGAACATCTATAATTGGGGTCCAGTGCTTTTCTTATTTATTTTAAAAAAATGGATTATGATATAAATTACTCGCTAAATAAATTATAGTCAAATATTAATTTCAGACCAGCATTCACAATTACTACGCACCTATTATCCTCAAAATGCGTAATAGACATTATTATAAAACGAGATAAATTTATTTATTTAAAGTGTTAAACCAAGTCTATTCTTTTTTTTGATATCCAGGTATTCCAACTTACACCAGACTAAATTCTAGACCCCCAAGACCCTTGTCCCTAGAACCTTGGAGGGGGTAAATCGCGGGTTATATCTCAACTGGATCACAGGTTCCCCCTATTACATGTACACTTCTGCGCACAAGAGACCCTCATCCACAGTGATTGCTCCATACCAAATATTTGGCCACAGGTTCCTATCAGGAATCGAACTCTCCACCTGCTACTGGAAGCAAGATAATGTTGATTGATCCACCAGTTGAGTTGTACCCCGGAGGGCCCAATGCCGTCGTCTTGCAATGGCATGGGGGCGTCTGAGGCATTTTTCGTGGTCATTGAACTTTGCTTAATAAAAAAAAAAATTTATTTATTTATTTTAAAAATTCACTTAGTTATTAATAAGTAAGAATATTGTCTGATGTACAAGCCCTGTTTCACATGTTCTGTATAGGCCTCCTCACATGCTGGGTGAGGGGGTGGGGTGGGTGATTATTTTAAGGAAAAAAATTATCCCACCTCGCAGGCCTGTACAGGCAGCAAGATTAAATAAGTAAACCTTAAGCTTAGCCAAACATGGTAATTTTTACAGTGCAGGTAATAACTGGGGATCAGATATAGATAAGCACTAGAACCTTAATGGACCCCTCACAAAGTACAATGTAGAATAAATAATACAATCGACCCATTATTATAAATACAACGTTTTGCAGCAAAGTCTACCCATTGCAGCCGCTTCCGTGCGGTTAGAATCTTGGAGGGGGTAAATCGCGGGTTATGCCTCAACTGGATCACAGGTTCCCCCTATTGCTTGTACACTTCTGCGCACAAGAGACCCTCATCTACAGTGATTGCTCCATACCAAATATTTGGTCGCAGGTTCTACCAAGAATCGAACTCTCCACCCTGCTGCTGGAAGCAAGACAATGTTGATTGATCCACCAGTTGAGCTGTGCCCCGAAGGGCCCAATGCCGTCGTCTTGCAATGGCATGGGGGCGTCTGAGGCATTTTTCGTGGTCATTGAACTTTGCTTAATAAAAAAAAAAAAAAAAAATATAAAAAAAAAAAAAAAAAAAAAAAAAAAAAAAAAAAAAAAAAAAAAAAAAAAAAAAAAAAAAAAAAAAAAAAAAAAAAAAAAAAAAAAAAAAAAAAAAAAAAAAAAAAATTTAAGAATAATGCCTGATGTACAAGCCCTGTTTCACATGTTCTGTACAGGCCTCCTCATATGTTGGGTGGGGTGGGTGATTATTTTAAGGAAAAAAATTATCCCACCTCGCAGGCCTGTACAGGCAGCAAGATTAAATAAGTAAACCTTAAGCTTAGCCAAACATGGTAATTTTTACAGTGCAGGTAATAACTGGGGATCAGATATAGATAAGCACTAGAACCTTAATGGACCCCTCACAAAGTACAATGTAGAATAAATAATACAATCGACCCATTATTATAAATACAACGTTTTGCAGCAAAGTCTACCCATTGCAGCCGCTTCCGTGCGGCTCCACACAGTGGACCATCACACGTTGTTGAAACACGAGCAATTTTATTGGCCAAGAATCATAACTAAGAGGTCCCTTCATTTTTTTTCCCTGTAATGACAAAATTGTACCACTGTGTACAACTCCACTCTCAAAAATAACAATCGCATTCAATTATATTAACCAAGAGCATCTTCAATAATTTTGTAAAATTGAGTATAAATTAATAAATTTAAGATTATCTTTACATTCTCATTTACACTATGATGGATTTAAATTCAAATTTTGTTCAAATGAAAAATTCTAAAAAAATTGGCTACAAGTGGATTGATAGGTTTTTTTTTTTTGTCTCTTGTGGATCCCACATGTAAATTTAAAAAAGAGTAATGCTATTTAATATCACTGATATTACAATACCAGTTTAGGTAATATTAAGTATCATAAAATAAAAGCTACAATTAAATAAATCATATAATTTCACTTTTAATTTAACATATCACATAATGTCTCATATATTTGTACTCTAGCACCAATGATGTAAAATAGCATTATTCTTTAAAAAAAATATGTAAATTTTATCTTTTTGTATATTTTATGTTGAAAAATGCACATTACATTTTCTTTGCATCTCTCCTTTGGAGAGATTTTCGACTACTTTAAAAATCTAAATCATAATTTAGAGTACCATTGAATATGTTCTAAGAGATTGTTTAATGATGCTTAAAAGTCTATTTTCTAATTCTTATAAATTGCTATTTTTCGTTATGTAGTAGCCCTTATTTGAGTCCCGTTCTTTTAAAAATTTATTTTTTTCAAAACTCATTTTGAATCACATTTTTAAATAAATAATATTACACACAAATTTAAAACTTTTTCTTAATTTTTAATTATAAATTCTCCATCAATCTACTATTTAAAATTCACCTTTTTCCCCTAAAATAGGGTTCAAACAAGTAAAAAGGCGTGGGATTTTGAACCCTCCACCGAGAGCCGAAAGTTGAAATTAGTTAATTAATTATTAAAATTATCAATCAGGTTCTATATAATTATTGTATTAAAGAAACAAAAAGTGAAGGAATCCCAAAAAAAGCATAGAAAATTGCATTCATTTGACATTTCAAAAGTAAAAAACCGAATAATTCAAAAAGAAGACAAACCCTAATGACACCTAAGGAGTGAGCATGATTCACATTCAACTGTTATATAATATGGTAAGGCCAGTCTCACCATTTCTCAAATACTACAGTTACACGTGTCGTTTTCTGATTGGTTACTCATCAGCATACTTAGCCTCTAAGCAAAGATTTTCGCTGTTTCGAAGCATTATTCAATTTCACAGATCAAATACAGCATCATTTTCTTGAAATAGAAAATGACTTCCCGCCGGCGTAATAAAAATGCAATGATAATAAACAGATGGTAATAAAGAGTTATATATTCGAGAAGAAATACCTTTTCTTTTAATTCATATCGGAGTTTTGAAAAACAGAAGAGGATTTTACCTCTTTTTTTTATTTTTTTTTCCTACACATTTGGATTCCAAAGACCCCATAAACGGGAATTGAATAATCCCAAAACGTCCGGCAAAACCTTTCTAGCCAAACCCTTGTGGCTGCGGTCCACCGCCGTCGACGGTGGCGAGGCCACCACCTCCTCTTCTTCCTTTGGAACCACCACGTCTTTCACTTCACTTTCCTCACTCTCTGCCACCTCGTCATCTTCCTTTGGTGCTGACACTTCAGTCTCCGACACCGGTAACAGAGAAACAACTCTTTCACTTTTCCCCTCTGTCGCTGGAAAATCATGAACCCCAACACCGTTGGCTATTTTCTCACTTTTCCGGCGACCCAATTTTTCCTTTTTCCGGTTCTTACCATTGTTACTCTTCCTGGACTGTTCTCCAGTGTTCAAGTGCTCCTCGAACGCTTCGATAGCTTGATGAATTAACTCACGATTGGGTGAAGAATCCCATCGGGACCAAAAACTAGTATAACAATCAAAGCACTCACAGTCAAAAGAAGCCGGTGGCTTATGCCCATGACCATTCGCCGGTGATTTCTTGATCTTCTTCTCACCGGCAGAAAAAACCGGCGTGTTTGTCAACTTCAAAGACCGGTTTATCATATAAGCCAAAACTTCACGGTCTTCAAAGGAAAGAACCGATATTAAAGCCAAAATAACAGCAGGCAATAGCTTTAACACAGAAGAAACTTCCTTGCTAGCACTGTACGATGACGATGAAGATGAAGCAATCAAGGGGTGTACTTTACCTTTGTTTCTCATTTTAATGGTGTTTTTGAGGGGAAAATTATAACATTAGAAAGCTATAACGGAGGCTGAGAACCCGATTATAAAGAGAATTTTTTGGGTTTTACTTTTATTTTTATTTTTTTGGGTGGGCGATAAATAATTTTCTTGATGGCAAGGACTATCTGAAGAATGTTTCACGCGGTAATTAGGCGCGTGTTACTACTTGTATTACTTGTCTAAAAAAAGGTTGAACCCCAACCTTAAGGCCCCCACCGATCCTGTCCTGGGCCATCGTGGAGGAGGTAAATCGCAGGATGTGCCTCCCAGGAGTCAGGATGGAGAGCACATGGATAGGCCAAGACTGTTAACCCATATGGTAACTCCCGCTTGCAACAAAGTCAATTCCACCTTGCTGGGAATCGAACTTTGCACACTGTCGCGCTGAGCCCTATCCGCCCTCCCCTTTGCCACTGGGAGATATGCTCTGAGGGCTACTTGTCTACGTCTATGTTACTCCATTTTAGAAGGGATTGAATAGGATTCGTCGTCTCATTTTAGTTTTGATAATCAAACTTTTACTAGATATTAGTAAAATTTATACAATATTTGATCAAAAATTATGAAATATATGATTAAAATTAATTATTAACTTTAATTTAAAATTTTAATTTAATTTTATTCTACATAAAATATATGCTTTATAAAATGTATTACCAATTCTTGTTACATTTTAATAAAAAAAAAGTGAAAACTCTTTGTCATGAAAAAAACAGTGGAGTTCGCAGAGTATTTAATGGGACTCAATGATCCCAAATATTTCATTGAAGAAGTTCAAATTAATGATTTGTGCTAACATCGTAATATTCATGAAATTCATGCCTAGAATTTCTATTATTAGAAAGGATATGTAAATATTGAGAGTTAGGTCCCGTTTCGAAGAAATTTTGAGAATTGATTTTTTTATCGTTAGAAGAAAAGTGGAGTTCACCTGTGAGAGAGGAAGTCAAAAATTACTACTGAAATAACGAAATAATGGTCAGAAAATCAAATTTTTTGGGTAAAAAAATCCCCCCCCCAAACAGGCTGTTAACCTTAATTAGTTTAAGCCCCTGTTTGGCTCAAATTTTAATTTGAGTCAAAGTCAAACAATCAATATTAATCATATCTTTTATGAATTCAACAACTTGTCAAAATTTACTAAAAAATCAATTTTAATCTCCGTCAAACACTCTCTGAGACGAGTTCATGCAGAGTTGGTCAAATAAACATAATTGACCTTACTATCGACTTGTAATTGAGGTTGAATTGTCTATTGACAAGTTCAACGTATGAAATGATGGAATAAAAGTAAGATAAATTGTATTAGAAGTAGTCAAATGTAGGATTCAATTATTATTACTGATAATAAAGTTTTATAAATATATAGTAAATTATGCTTATCATCTTTTATCTTCGTTCAATATCTTACTTACGTCAACAATTCTCCCTCTATTTTGTATTTTTGTCATCAACCTTTGTACGTTGCACTTTTACCCCCATTAACACCAGCCTTTTTCCAATCATGATTGTCATCCATGAATAGCATAATAAGAGGTATTTGCCCTCGTATCTATAAGAGAGAGAGAGAGAGAGAGAGAGAGAGAGAGAGATGAAACCACCTATTTACTTGCTTTATTTCCCAACATTCCATGTGGTACTATTTAGTACGTTTCAAACATACCGTTGTTCTTAATCTCAGGTCGAGCCAATCTCAATTTCGAACAATTTAGTCATGTTAAAATAAAGCATCTGACTTTATAGTGCATATACTGAAATGTTCTCTCGATCTTGTTAGAAGTTGTGTTTTTCTATACTTTAGACTTTATACAATTTACAACTTTAAATATGATCACATTCTTACAATTGCTGTGCTTGATTTAAATATGTGAAACAAGATAAATAGATTGTACTATTAATATAGTTGCAATGAGACGAAATTTATTTTAATTATAAATTCTGATCAGGCTCGTGCCATTTTTGATGTAAAGATTCAGCTCTCGTTTTATGGTCATTATAAAGAGATTCGGGGAAAATATAATGTTCTGATAATGATTTTTTGGAGAATGAATGTTTAAAAAGTAGGAAAGAATTTGATTTACGTGTAAAATATTTTATCGTATGAATGTGTGATTGAAAATAAAGGAAAAATAAAAATTTTGTTTAAAGAGAGTCAAACAGGGGCTCAACAAGATTAAGTGATTTTTTTTATTTTATTTTTTTGGTTCTATATATTTAATTAGAGAATATATGAATCTTTTTCCACCGACTCAACGGATAATGGATTTCGTCAGTAGGGACACAGCTGCCCCAAATTGAAAGAGGAAGGACAACGTTGGCAAGAAATGAAGGTTCGAGGCAGAAATGCAAAATAGAAAACAAGTTCAGGACTGCAACTACAATTTTGCCTCCATTTCATCTTGAATTTCAGGTTAATTACATTTACGCTGCCCTTTTTATTTATTGCATTAAACTATAATTGTCCTCGACCTTTACTCATTGTAAAGCTTATGTCCTTAACTTTATTCAATGAATTCTCATCTTTAAAATTTTCATTAATTAACATCTCTAGCCCCTGACAATTATTTTTATCAAAATATTTTTTTTTGCATTCGTTGAAACGTGAGAAAAAAAAAANTACAGGTCACACACAATGGGGGTGAGTAAGTTAATTTTTGGCCATTTTTTATTCAAGCGAGGTCCACCCTTTGTGAGTTATCTAGCTGGATTTTATGAACCCGGCTTCTGTAAAGGAGGAACATTTCTAAATTAACACAATAATAAAGAACAATTTAAAGTGACGATGTACTAGTGAGCTCTTGACAAAGGAATGGCTCACACGTTGCAAATAAAAAGTCACCATTATGACTAGAAATCGATCCCATAAAATCTATAATCGAAAATGAATTTGAGAAAAAATTAATTTTAAAATATAAGGTCAAATGGAGACTAAATCAAGTCTTTCTTTCTAACTTCACATCAAGAACAAATATAGTTCTTTTGTGATATTTTAGGATCTAGCTTGAACATACATCTAATTAAAAAAACATAATATGTTGCTTAAATTGAATCATATATAATGTGTTCCCCAACAAAAACCACAAGATGAAATCAAAGAAACCACGAACCAACATATCTGTTCAACTACCATGAAATAATACAAAACCAAAACATGCTGCAAATTAGAAATGTTAAATGGATCAGTCCACAAAAACATGCACAAAAAATAAAAATAAAAAAATGTAGTAGCTAATTAGCCTTCTTATCTGAGTGTTGAGAGTCGTTCATTGCTGCTGAATGCTTGTCTTCAGCCATCTTTGCCCGCACCTCATCCCGCGCCTTAAAATACCTCTCAAAGGCCCTCGGAAGGAAACGAGGAAGCAAAAAACCGAACAAATTGATCGAGAAATATGTTAGATTTGCTATTGACAGCACCCTTCCGAACCAATGCCAAGCCACATCCTACAGAAACCGACAGTTAACTTTGAGATAAATTTCATCATTGATTACTAAACTTTGTTTTCCTTCAAGTTGGATATAAACATAGTTCTTGATTTGTAGTGCTTATAATTTTGAATCCTAAAAAACTTATGAATAATAAGTGGACAGTAAGTCGTAGATCCTACAAAATTTATTTAACTAGCATAAATTGTAATTAAAAACATTGCTAAAGATGCTCAAACTAAAATTTTAAGTCGTGCATTGTTATTTCATCTATGTCCATTAGTTTCTTAATAAAATAGTTAATTTTGTGGTAGCCTAATAGATAAATAATAGATTTATTCACGGGTGTTAGAATTTGATTGTGATCTAAATTCTTTATTGAAAATAAATTGAGAATTATAACTAAAGTGCACATTAAGAGGAATTCTATTTAAAATGTTTTTGGAATTCTATTTGAAGTCTATTTGACAAATTCTAGTTAAAGTTCTATTTGAAAGTCCTTTTGAAGTCTATTTGACAAATTCTAGTTAAAGTTCTATTTGAAAGTCCTATAAATTTGTGTTGGATTTAAAGAGATCAAAATAAGGAAACTCTTAGTATTCTACTTCATTTACGACTCTACTTCTATGACTTAAATTGTTCCTTACATATATTTGGCTATTCTCTACCATTTAGTTTGGTTGTTTAACCTCATTATAAGTTAAACAAATCATAAACACAAAATATTTGTATTATTTCCTTATTTATTATATAATAAAATCTCCATTCTCTAGAAATTATTTTATTCTTGTGATCAATTACTTCATACTATGGCTTAATCTCTTATTTTTCACCAACAATTTGATGTTAGAGCAATTCCGCTTTCAACAAGTGGTTTCAAATATGGTCTGGTAATTGGTGAAATACCTCACTAACCTTTACAGGTTTGGAGCACTACTTGTTGTTGGAACGAGTTTGACAACTTTGTGACCTTGTTGTTGCTGCGTCTTTTCTCTCTATCGTGCCTTCTTTGCCAATCGGCTTGACATGGTGATGGTTTATTATAGTCGGAATTTTTTTTATGTGAAAATGGTGGTGGTGACGGTGTGTTTACTATGGAGGCGGAAATTATGGATATGAGGTTGCAGGTGGTGATGGTGATTGTGGATCTGAGACAGCAGGTAGAGGAGGTGATGATTGTGGATTTGAGATAAAGGTAGTAGTGGTCGTGGGTTGTGGATTTGAGTTGACGGCGCGACACAGTGTGGATATAGTGAAATGAACAGTGATAGTAACTAGTTAATTAACTAATTTGTAACATATTTGCAATTAGATATGCAATTGTAATTCACAAATTGAGTATTCGTGACTATTACCTTGAGTAATTTGTGATTGGTACGTGATCGTAATAGTAAATTGTGTATTTATTGTGACAATGACATATTTGATTAAATAGAGGTCACAAAAACTTAGCAAAGATCACAAAATGTGATTGCTTAACTTTTGAAAGATTTCATTAAAGTTCGTTAAATTTGAAAGTGTATATAGGATATTTATGTTTTTACCCTTTTTTTACGTATAATTTTTTTATATACTTTAAAAAATTTAATAGACGGGAATTAAAGCCCACTCCAACCCCCTAAATCTATCACCAGTTATTTCATCTACGCTCATTAGTTTGAATAATGAATATGCTGCTTCGTCACTAACAGTCAAATAACTAGATTTTCAAGTGGGTAAAGCAACCAGATTATTAAAAAAATAAGTAAATAATCTCGGACATGAAATTGACCTCAATTAATACTCAAAATCGGAATAAATAAATAAAATTGATAGCTTGAAGTCCAAAATTACCTGGAGTGCAGCATTTGCAGGCAAGGTTTTATTAATCCAGACATCCTTAATCCAATCAAGATCCACAAAAATCCTACGAACAGTGTAAATCAAAGGGACAAGTGCTCTCACCGGAGGCGAAAACAACGACAGCCCACTTATGATGTTTTCTGTAAGTATTTGAAAAGATAGCAAGAACAGATGAGGCGTGGCCGATCGAACAGCATGTTCATCCCCTCTTGCAAATCCACCCAAAATATAAGCCAATGGCAAAAACAGGCCAACAGTTGTTCCGACAATTACATAGACTCGGAAAAATCGACTGCCTTGGAATATTTCGAGGGATTCCGAGGTTTTTCCATGTGCGGGAAAGGCTAAACGCGAAAGCGCGATAATATACGCGGTTGCGAAGGCTGGGAAGATGAGGTCGAGGAGTGGAACAAGGCCACTGGCTGAAAAAACCATAATGAAGGCCACTAGTTGTAACTCAATCAAACGAAGGGATCCCATTACAGTGCCACCGGTGGCTGGTGGCGTCTGGCGGTGGCGCTTGGCGGAGTTTGGAGTTGGGGTGGTGGTCCGATCAGGCTCGGAACCAGGAACCGCCGGTACTGCTAGTGATACACCCGACATCTTTTCTCTGGTACCAAAAAATTGCTTACACGTTACGAACAAATATGCCAATAATAAAAAACACAAATCTCCCAAATCCAAAATAAAAAATATAATTATTACGCAATATTAAGACTAAAGAAAATTCATACAAAAATTATCTTACTCGAAATGGAAGAAGATAAAACTGTAGATCCTAGAGAAATGGAAAAATGAGAGTCAGCAACGATGATTATGTTCTTGGCAAATTACCGTTACACGTGGACTTTGTTTGTCCAATACGTGTACCACTCTACACGTGTAAAACTGCACGTGATCTTCAACATGGCTATATTTACAATATAATTTAATCGGAAAAAATTACAAATCATTACAATTATCGAATTTGATTAATGACCAATCGAGGTATTTTCACTAAATAATAAAAACAAGTTGAAATAATTTTACACTTGGGATAGTTGATACCCATATATATCCACTCGATCAAACTGTTCGGCCAGAATATATATGTTGATAAGAGGGTTGCTATGTGATAAATATAATATCAAAGTTTAATCCGAATGAGTGTAATTAAACACAATAATATATGATAAAACCTTTATGGTATATAAATCACAAAGAAAACGAGAAATGAACTTGAGACAAGTGAAATATCACTCTTTCCTTTAGACAAAATTGTCCTGAAATGATGTTCACGGTTCACAACATTTGTCTTTCAAAATACAACGAATTTAACTTATGGTAGAAACACTTCAAACCAGAAGCAAAAGCAAACTCGAACGAAATTTATACTCTCTACAAGGAAAAAGTTATTGAATGATTTTTGGAGAGTTTTCATATAGACATCTAAAAGGGTCCTATTTATAGAAGATGGGAGATTGTGTATGAAGTGTTGCGTATCAAACCTCGCAACCTTACGAACAGAAGCATCACTTGCTGTCGCACACTCGAGTGCCGATGTTAAAATATTAATAGAATCTTTTTCACCCTCTTGTTGCTAGCCTATCACTCAAGTGACAGCCCTGTCGCTTGAGTAATATGCGAGCGACGGAGTTAGGCATTTTCCTCTATTTTTCTTTCAACTTTGGACGTAATTTCTCATTCATCTGAAATTGATTTTGAACTTTCAAATATATAACGATGATTTTCTCGATGAGTACAACAAGTTGGTCTATTTACATTTAGAGCTTGTTTGAGCCATATTATTTTCAAAAAAAAAAATACATTCTTCAACAGTGATTTGACATCATTTCAACTACACATTCTTCAATAAAATAATATTACACACAAATCTAAAAATTTTCCTTATTTTTTACCTACACATTTCTTATTGATTTGACATGAATAATACATTTTTTTATAGAATGTGGCTCAAACATGAGCTTATAGTTTGGCCATCTAATGAAATCCGAATATTTGGTCAAAGTCGACACGAAAATTAGTTTTTCCATATTTTTTGATTTTAACACTTAACCAATTTTCCTTCAATTTTAAACCAATTTCCTACATGAATGGAAATTCAAATATGCACATACAATGCAAAAAATTTTATGATGCAATGTAGAGAGCAGAAGGACACTGCATCAGGTAAGGTAGCTTTCGGCTTTAAACTTTCTTTAGTGAAATACTATCGAACTTATTTGGCTAATTGGTAAACGTGATGTCTTGAACCATTCAGCCATTAATGTAAGTCAAGACAACAATACTCACACAGATGTCTTCCCCGAATCCGTTCATGATTTTCATAACTTTGATCATTTTAGCTATGAACCGCTATTGGGTTTCATAAGTGTTTAGAAAATTTTAGCCTCGAACAATCCTCATTAAAGCGACCCATTTCACACTTACATAAGTGACCTTCTATTAAGAATATTATTCCCTACACTACTTGACTTAATCAAGATATAGGAATCATTAAAGAGTATCTTAACCATTAATCACTCTGCGGAAAGTACTTTAATATCATATGAATGAGTTGGAAAATAATTTTGCTTCATTGAATCATCATAACTTAGTTGTCCATTTGAACCTTTAAACCAAGATCTTTGAATCTCCAGTCAACAAGGTATAGTTACCATTACAAACACTCTTATACGTAGTAAGCTTTAATTACATTTCTCTCGATAGACAACATATTTGATCTCTAGGCAGTCCTTTTATAATGGATCTGCGATATTTTTCTTTGATTTCACATAATCTATAGAGATGATGCCATTAGAGATCAGTTGCTTAATGGTATGTATCTGCGACGTATATGTCTGGACTATCACAATGTATACTTATTACAGGTACCGACTTAGGCCAACATAGAATATCTTTCAAGAAATTACGAAGCCCTCTTCTCCAGCTTTGTCCAAAGTAATGAACTCAAATTCCACCGTTGATCGGGCTATGTACATTTGCTTTATCAATTTTCATGATTTAGTAGCTCTACCAATGGTAAATACATAACCACTAGTAGACTTGAAATCCATAATATCGGATATCCAATTCGCATCACAATATCCTTTCAATACCGAAGGATATTTTGAAAAGTGTAATATCTAGGTTAATGTATACTTCAATTACCTAAGAACCCTTGTTAAAGTCTTCCAATGACATGCTTGGATTACTTATGAATCTACTAAGTCTATTCACAGCAAAATCAATGTCTGATTGAGTGCAGTTCGTAATATACATTAGACTACCTATCACCTATGATTACTTTAGATGTAACACACGTTCACCCGTAATTTTGACTAAGTGTAAGCTTGTGTCAATAGGGTTTTCACAGGACTTCCTCCAACACGTTATACCTCTTAAGTATATTGTTAATGTAGGGAGATTGGGAAAGTACAATCTCTTTCGATATTCTAGAGATTTTAATCCCTAATATCACATCAGCTACGCCCATGTCTTTTATATCAAAATACTTCATTGGCATTTTCTTAGTGTTCAGCATCTTTTCATGGTATTGTCCATTATCACACGTCGTCTACATATAAACATATAATTACATAGACATTTGATGTATATTTTATATATACACACTTGTCACACTCGTTTATCTTAAATCTGTTTGAAAACATCGTTTTGTCAAACCTTTGATGCCATTATTTAGGAGTTTGTTTCGATCCATACAAGGACTTAACGAGTTACAAATATTTTGTTTGTGATTAGAATAAATGAACCCTTCAAGTTATTCCATGTATATCTCTTCTTCTATCTCACCATTTAGGAATGTCATTTTCACATCCATTTGATGAATCTCAAAATTGTGTATTGTTGCAATTACAATTAACAACCTTATTGAAATGATTCTAGTCATGGGTGAATAGGTATTAAAGAAGTCAAGTAATTCCTTTTATCTATATCTTTTGGTAACCAACCTAGCTTTATATTTTTCAATGGATCCATTAGGTTTTAGTTTCTTTTTGAAAATCTATTTACAAACTAAATGATTGTTTCCAGGAGGTAAGTCAACTAACTCTCAAGTATGGTTTTGCATTATAGAATCTATCTCATTATAGCTTTTTTTTTCAATGTGATGCTTTCGGTGTAAACTTACTTCATCAAAAGTCTTTGGGTTATTTTCTGCCATATAAGTAAGAAAATCTGAGCTAAACATCGTAGATATCCTAGCCCCTTTTACTACGCCTCAATTCTACCTCATTTGAAATATCATTTGTATTGTTGTTAGTTCTTTTATTCAAACTTGCATTTTCCTTTTCTTTACAATGAAAAACATTCTTGAAAAATGACGCATTTCTTGATTCAATTATGATTCTCTCATGTACATCTTGAACTTTAAATTTATGTACAAGAAAAATATATGCAATATTATTATTGGCATATCCAATAAATATGCAATCAATCATCTTGGGACGAATCTTTACAAGTTTAGGGATTTCAACGTTAGCTAAACAACCCCACACTTTCAAATGATGGTAGAATGATGATAACCTTTCCATAATTCATATGAGGTTTCTTCCATTTTCTTGAGAATTATCTTGTTAAGAATACTATTTGCTATTAAAATAGCTTTCCCACAAGTTTTGAGGTAAACCCGAACTTAACAACATTGCGTTTATCATCTCTTTAAGAGTTCGATTTTTGTGTTCAACACTACCATTCGACCAAGGAAAGTAAGGTGCCGTTGTTTGATAAATAATTCAATGTTCTGAATAGAATTCTTCAAATGGTGCCCCGTATTCACCTTTTCCATTATTACGCATATTCTTTATTCGTCTACCAAGTTAAGTTTCAACTTTCGCTTTATAACTTTTAAATGAATCTAAGGCCTCGTCTTTACTTCGTAGTAAAAATATATAACAACACTTGTACAATTATAAATGAAAGTTATAAGGGTTACACTATGGGGACAAGCCCCTGTCTAAATAGGGCCTGTGCAAGCAGTTTAACCCAAGTTATAAAGTATTTCTTACCATCTTTGAACAGATTTCATATCACAAATATCGCTGTGTATTAGCACTAAAGGTGTCGTATTCCTTGAACCAAGTGAAACGGTGTTTTAGCCAACTTTGCTTCTACACATACTTCACACTTATGATTAAGATCAATCTTAAGCGTCAGAATTAAATTTTGATTCACAAGTTTGCGCAAGGATTTTTAATTTACATGTCTTAGTTTACTATGGTACAAACAAGACAACTCAAGCATATAAACGAAATTCGAATTTTATTCATAATGCTTTGGCTTGATACAAATGTAAAAACTTTCATTTTGGACATTCCATCACACATGTATCCTTTTATTCCATACATATCACTTTTAGTGATTACAAATTTATCAGATATAAATACAAGCTTAAAGTCATTTTGCTAAGTAGAGACCCAGATACAAGATTCTTGCAAATGTTTGGCATATGTCAGACATTATTGAGGACGAGTTCTATATCGGAAGTCTATAATTTTCCCTTGTCCTTCAACTTTTGAATTTGCAGAGTCCTCCATGAAGAGTTGTTCTCCATTCAATTCTCGATAGTTAGAAAACATAGCATTGTCTACATACACGTGATGGATAGCACCAGTATCAACTTACCATTCTCTTGAATTTTCAACATTATCACATTTAGAAACAACTGCAGATACGCTCATTTCTTGTATCCCTTCAAGCGGGGTGTGTTTTACAATCATGTTTGCTTGTGC